GGAAGGCTCAAGCCCTCGCGGAGCGACGCGGGTCGCGCGGCGCGCGCGTGTGCGAAATGCGACAACAGACGACAGAAGACAGACGCCTGAGCGCTGTACGACTGAACTTTTGTCGCCGCAATCGCCACCGCCGCCATCTTGACGAGCAGCGCGAGCGCGCTCGTCGGCGGCCAGCCGTCGCGGGCCGGGCCGAGCCCGGCCTCAACCGGCCGCGCCGCCGCAGCAGGCCCGGAGGCCCACATGGCGGCCGACCAGCTGATACCCGGTAAGGAACTTACTCTCTCAACTTCAACCTGCTGCTCCACGAGACGTTCGGCGGCGGCTTCTCGCCCACCGCTGTTCTCAAGCTGCGCCGCCTCGCGCGTAAGGTCGCGCGCGGCAGCGTCGACCGCACGGCCTACTCGCCCAAGTACTCGCTCTCTTTTATGTCCCACCATGCAGAGCGCATCTCTCTCTCTCTGTTGTGCGCCATTCGCTCTGAACCGCGCCATTCGCTCTCACCTGGCAACCCTGTCTGCACGTCTCGCGCGCGCGTGAACAGGGCAGGCCCCAAATGATGTGTGAGTGTTAGAGTTGTTTGGTATTGCTAAAAATCTCTCTCTCCAATGCACAACCCTGGACCCAAGATTACGCACACGACAGTCGAGAACAGACAGACAGCGAGGATAGTCGGAAGGCACACTCGGTCCCAGAGGGGCGGCGGCAAACTGAGGAGAGACACGCCGCACAAGGCAACAGAAGGGGGAAGTCGATCGAGAACGGACAGACAGACAGCGACGACAGCTTCGGTCAAAAGCGAACGCGTGCCCCCAAGTGCATTTTGTGTAAGCGAACGCGATAACGCCTGAGGCAGGTAGGGAACGACAGGCGTCTTTGGCTGCACGGCGTCTCTTCATGGAACGGGCACTCGAGATCAGCTCGTGACGTGGCCTGCAGCTCGTTGACGTGTGCTCTGCCTCGGCTCTGCTCTCTGGCTGCAGCTCGGTGACGTGTGCAAAAGCCCCCCATGGGCTGCACTTCCAGCACCAGCAGCGACGCCGACGGCGCCACGGACCTCTCGAAGCCGGCGCTCTCACGTCAGACGCTCGGCAACGCCAGCCTTGGCGACGCAGCCGACGCTCTCACGTCTGCGTTCGTGAAGCAGCACTGGGACGCATCGGACCTGGAGGCCAAGTACGACCTGAGTGGGAGCAGGCAGCTCGGCAAGGGTGCGTTTGGCGTGGTCCGCACCTGCAAGCGCCTCGGAGGCGGAGGCGGCGAGTACGCGCTCAAGACCATTTCGCTCGACTTCGCGTCGGCGTCCGCTCTGAAGGAGCTAAAGAATGAGATCGACATCCAGCGCGCTTTTGACCATCCCCACATCGCGCGGATCGTCGAGACCTTCTACGCCAAGCCGACAGGCCCGACTGAAGGTGTGAATGTGCACATCCTCATGGAGAGCCTC